ACCTTTCATTGCTCCTTTCTGACTTAGAAACAGTTTGTTCGTTTGTGATATAACAATATACAGTAATAATAAAGGGTAAAAGTAAATTGTAATAAATTTATAAATTTGCAGCACCACAGAACAGTTTCCCTAAGTACACTGCTTAAACTGATATATGTATACCTACTATATACCTACAATAGTTAACAAGTCTGCAGGCTACAATAATGTAGCCTCAATGCTTAGTTGATTAATCTAAGTCTTAAGTGTATTTCAAAATCCTGTATATATCCTACCATATTTCTTTTCCTTGTAATGATAGAGCATAACTGGATTTGAATATGTATAACAAATGATATATCGAAATTAAAGATAAAATGGATCAAAATAATGACAGTGTAATTGAATTCATAGCAATTAATTTGTTTATGTTACAGTTGCGAACTTGATTCGTACAGAGACAGTAATTTGTACTCTTTAAAAAATGTAAAATAAAGAGCATTTTACTATTGGTAATGTCTTGTTGAAATTTGATATACATTTATATATGAAAATTCTAGGCTTTGCTTGTACAAATTGGGAAATCAACTTCGATTTTGATAAAAACTATACAGTACTTATTCAAATAAGTTACATTACTGATATGTTAACAGCTAAATAAAACATATATAATCAGGTTAAAAGGAAATTAATGAAGATTACAGATTTCAAAACATTTAAAATCTAAAAAATAAATCATATATGAACTCGCGATTCACAAGGAATCTGAAATCATCATATATAAATGTATACATGTGTATACATAAGCATACATACAAGAATTCTTGTAATGAAGTTTATGCGTAAGTCTCAGTACATACCAGTATCATATTTAAATTTGAGGAGAACCTGAACACTCTTTTATCGACAACATTCCACTATGACGATTACTTTGATTTCATACATGTGAACACTCTGCACCTCACATGTTTTGTGCACCATATAACAATAGTGAGTAACATACATCACTATATTAGTACGGATAATAAATATAAAAAGTTAATTGGCATACAGTGCATGTGATTCTGTATTAAACCATATAATCTTGAAATTTTATTGGCAGTCAAATGTCTATGTTGATTTGTTCTCAGTCTTATGAGAACTTGCTTTAAGTTCAAATCATGGAAGATGTAAATTTTTTCATATAAACTATCGTAAACTCTTATAGAAATTGTATCATAATATATTCAAAGATATAATTATGTTTCATTATCAAAACAACTTGACTCAATAATATTTTTCTTTGATGTTACTGGAAGTAACTAGTAATAATTACTTTAGTTTTACTTACTTTACAGTTTCTAATAATTACTTTAGTATAATTACTTTACAACTAAGTAGTAATTACTTTATTTTGGAAAAGGGATACAAAAGTTTACTTCTTTGTATCATACTAATCTCAAAATGTCTAACAGTTCCAACAGTTATGAAGGTCCCAATCTAATATGCTATCGCGTTAGCAAAGGACGGAAGTGGAAAAGGAAATATACTAGCTGGAATGTACATATGGTGGTAGTAATGAAGTTTCCAGAGAAAAAGAATCAGTCTTCATGCTATTTGAATGTAAAGTGTACAAAGTGAAGTGTACATTGAGAACTAGACTACATTAATGCTTTTTGCAGTCTTCTGTTTATAAGGCATAAGTATTAATCATATTTATTTATTAAAAGTATTTTTATTTTAATGTTTTTTTGTATAACTATATTTTACGTAAAAATGAAAAAATTTGCTTGTTAAAATTTACAATATAAAATAGCTAAACATTTATAATTTTAGTGTTAAAGAAATTTAAAAAAGCAGTTAAAAAAGATATTGTATTAAATAAGTTGAAGACGTAAAAGTTACAAAAATTATGCAACACTTAGGTGTCTCTGGAAACTTCATAAAAAGCCCGTAATATTTAGATAGAAAAATAAGAAGCGTTGTCCTATAAAAAGAGAATAAAAGAAAAATAAAGAAATTGGTAAAATGAAAATTATGGCGTGGAAAAATATGATCCACTACATTAACTTATACAATTATAATAGGATATTATTGTTTGTATAATATAATTTGTTTCAAGTTAACACAATGAAACGTAGTTCTACATTTGTCCAACGCCGAACATTTTTTTATTTGAAAATGACCATTCTGAAGTCTCAAGTAAAATTCAAGTTCATGTATCACGCTTGTCTACTTAATCTTGCAAACTGTATGCGCTGATGATCTACCATGTTATACGTCATAGCGTGAGAAATCTATGTTTTTGTTACTTAAGTTGCGTTTCTCATAATAATGCTGGTAATTGAAAAAAAAATGTAAACGATGATAGAAATGATTATGAATTCAAGCCTTGACGCTTTTCTTCTTCGAGCATAGCATCAAGTTCATCGGTAAGATTAGCAAGCATGTTTCCAATGTCGTTCAATACATCCGCTGGTTCGCTACCAGTAGAATGATGGCTTATTCCATGACTTTGAATATTGTTGCTAGTATTATTACTTGCATATTCCTGTGCACGTGCAGCTCTCTGCTTTATCGTCCCAGCATTTTCATTTGCAAACGGGAGTGAATCTGATTCTGTACTGGAACTTGACTGAAAAAATATAGTTAGCATAAGTTACTATAATTATACAATATATAATATTTCTACAATATAAAATCTTTTTTCAAAAACTATCATTCCTTCTATTTACATCGAATGACTTCATGTGGTATATCATTAAACACAGCTTAACAAATGCTATCATATTATGAATAAAGATGTATAGCATTCCATTAAAAACTATTAAATTGGCCTTGAAATCTTCCCTACAATTACATATATGTGAAAATTATTTATACCACACAGTATGCCCCTCAATACCAAACAAATCTCATAATAACAATTTTTTCGTACCTTTAATTATTCCTGCAATTCCGGTTAAAAGAATATCTCTCTCTCTTCCTCTCTCACACATACATTAAAAATGTTTGCATGTATAAATATATGTAAATATATGTAATTTAAATAGAAGTACCTTGAAACTGGCATCAGAACCGTTACGGTGTTGCAAAGCAAGAGAAGCTATTAATTCATGTTCTTCGTTAACATTGACACTGACACTACCCCAGGAACGAGACATAGAAGAGGGTGGTCGATTCATTTGTGGTGGAGTCGATGGCACTGGTGCAGGTGCGGGTGGTGGAGGAGAAGGATGATGAATCAGATGATGATGATGATGTATATGATGTTCATCGCAAGAAGCAGTTGGTACTGGTCCGCTACAATCTATCACAACATCGCCAACACTCGGTCCTCCAACACTGACGCTGTTGTCTCTGGAGCTTTGGCGCCTTGGTGGAGATGGAGGACAACGTTTCGGAAGATGTGGACTACTTTCAAGCCCGTAAGTTAATTGATACTTGTTATCGAAGTCTCTTGGTAATGATTTGAATTGGCCCGGAGTCGCAGTAACCTATAATCAAAGATGAATCGTACAATATTAGAATTCTTATTATAACACTGTATCTTTTATTTTCTAAGTAGAATTCCCCCGAAATCCTCCATCAACAGTACAAATGGTTTACTTAAATAACTATAGATATACATATATAATACTACCTTGGCTACAGGTCGTGGACGAACAAGGCAATGTCTTGGTCGTGGAAGAGTTCCACCACCTGCGTCCATTACGGAAGTATCATTTGTAGGAGTCAGGTCACCATCTTCGAAACTACGTGGGCGCCATTCAATTGACTGTGGATGTGTAGAAGGTGCTGGTGATGGAGGATACCCAAGGGGTGCATCCTCTAAGCTTTCTAAAGACTTTCCTCGTGGACCAGCTCGCCCAACAATATTATAATCGGTTGGTAAAGCAGCGTACATACTCCTCCACGCAGTTCCAGACGTGGTATCACTTCCTCCCCTCTGAAAAGACCTCAAAACAGGTGATGAACAATCCTCATCGGGAGATGGCAAGTCAGGACCTCCTCGTTGAATAACTACATCCTGTAAGCATAGTCAACGTTAATTAAATACAAAAACAGGAGATATGCAAAAAATAAAAAAAAAGGATGACAATCATGGCCTACTTATGTCTTAAGATTGATATTTTCAGAGTTATGGATCATAAATATTCTTATTTAAAGAGTGTCGAGCATTATAAACATACATAAGGATATCTTTCTGATATCACGTATAAAACATATTGCAGCCATGAACAGATGTATTAAATTTACTGTTTGATAACATATACAATTATAACTCACAATCTTTTTTCAAGTGAGGACATGTATGAGCTATAACTGTTGAAATATTAATTTCAATAGACATGCTTACCGAACCTTTTTTGCTACTTTTAAAGAATATTATGCACTATCAAAGCCTACGAACATTTTGTACATTAGTAATACGTTAAAATATTTATTTACTTGTGATTGACCAGGATGTGGCGGTAGTCGTGCAAGATCAAGTGGTTGTATACGTTTGCCCGCACGGATATCCTTGACTCTCTTAATTGCCAGCAATAATTTCTTTTGATGACCAAGACGTACAATACCAATATCTTCGAGATCTTCCCAAGTGAGAGTTGTTACATCTTCAACTGAGCGCATACCCTGTTGATGAAGAGCACCAAGATATTCTTCGAGTCGCAGAAGCCTGAGCCACTCTTCTAACGAACCAGGAATGTGCTCAGGCAACCCATCTCCTATATTTAAATTATCTATTTCCGCTTTCAAGCGTTTTCGATGATTGGGCTTCTTAATTCCTGCAAATGCATAGAACATTAAATGGCCATTCTTAATATGAGGAATACGAGCCCAATTGGCAAATATCAGACTGAATTACGAAAAATAAAATAACCGTGTAAAACATTGTTCAAGCTTCAAAATACAAACGACCAATATTATCTTGATATAAATAACAAGGATAAAAATGTTTCCCTTTAGAAAATCGATATTGATAATAAAAATACTTCCATTTATTATACTGTCCCTTGAAACCATTTAAATTAAACGTATATCACACTTAGCTTAATGGAAAAAACAAAAAATTACTGAGTATTTCTTTCTTTCTAGAAAGCTTTGAAAATAATTAGATAAAAAAGAGAAGAAACTTCTTTTGTACATTCTTTTCTTCCTATGATTTTTATATTTTTCATTTACATTTGCATGTCCACTTTTTTGATACATTCTACAATATACGCTGAACTTATTTTGTATTATTAAATTTAAAAATATTACTTGGATATTGTGTTTTTTGTAATTCATCATATGCATGTAAAAAAAACAGCGCAATTCTCGTACCTATTGCTGTCAAATCTTCTGGCGTCATACGCGTTATAGTAGCAAGATCATAACCAGCGGAAGCAAACAATGGAAAGTATTCTTCGAATTGGAGTTCAGTTAGCCAAGCGTGAACGACGTCGAGATCAGCCGGTCTGTCAGGATGGCTGCCAAGGGAGCTTATAGAACACCTGGGAGATGAAGCAAGAGCACCAGGCCCTCTAGGACCCAGATGATACCCGGAGGCTCTTCCAGAATCTAATGAAGCGGTAGAATGCCTGGAACCAGAACCTGATCCTGAACTACCTGGGCTATCTCTTCCGGGGCTTTGAGTCATGTCGATTCCTAAAAGGAAGTAAATGAAAGTTAGTTGTTTTTCAAGTGGATATTATACGGAATACTGAACTGTAACAGTGATTACATACAGTGTTCGTTATAATTTTATTCAAGAAGATATTCGAGCATTCGATCAAAAATTTCCTTAAATCTCACGAATTATCGATTTTTCTAATATCATACCCTAATACTTTTATACACTCTATCGCTATTTATGAATTTTACTGATATCGCCGCGGGCACGATACATTTATAATATGGCAACGAAAGTGTCCATCATATGCAAACGATTTTGATGCAACAGCTAAAAGGAAAATAATTTCTAGAAGATTTATGAAAACAATTAGTTTCGTATATTGATGAAAGAGCTTCCGAAATTAAACACAGGAAAGCTGTGTTTACGTATAGAAAAAATTGTAAGTGCTATAGAGGCTATAGATAGAAAAATCATGCTAAACAGCTGTCAGAACTCAAAAGCGTGGTAGAGATTTCATATGCATCGGAAATAGTGATAAGTATAGATTTAAACGCGACAATCGCCAAAGGCATGTATGTTTATTTATATTTTTTTCGTACTTTGTTTACATTTTTTACATAATTTAAGTTTCCGCGATATTGGGCAAAACAGATTTTCACACCTCGACTTTGAGAGCTGTTTTCATCCCAAAACAAAATTTTCCTTCATAAAAAAAAAAGAAAAAAACACCTGTCTAAAATTATTCAGATTCTTTCGCTGTAAGCAAAGGTTAATCAGAATCATGGATAAATGCGTGCGTTACATGGATAAATGCTGAGAAACAATATTACCCTAATAACATAACGATATATGAAATTTCGTAAGAAGGTAACTCGATAAGCATCACACCTTGATCTTCAGCATGGGTATATTTGCCGACGACTGGTGGAAAGGCAAAACCGGGGTGAGTAAAAATAGGCCCCGGACTCTTTCCAGATGGCACTCCGTAAGAACCCTCATCTGTAGTTCCGCCTGGTCCATTTCCCGGAAGAAAACAGCTATCTTCGCTACTCGCATATCCAGCAGAGCCAAAGGAGGAACCAGAGTGTCGAAATACGTCGGGTACAGCCGGTGGTGCCACTTTCTTCGCCTGGGTGACAGCTTTGGACGGCCGGTTCATGCCGCCAACTGCACATACGTGATATCACATCGTTACTTGATTATTCGACGTAACAGATTTTTCTCTCGTCAACACACATTACATACATTACCCCCGTCAAAAGATTAGTCGGGAACTATGAAAATTCTAAAGAAAGCACCTTCGTATCGAAGAGAGTAACGAAATAAGTGACATTGTTAAAAGGAATTTTTATACATGTTAATCGGGGTCCTA